CACAGTAGAAGTTATGAAATTAAGAAAAGCAAATGTCAAATATTGCCAAGAATCATGTAAGATAAAGACTGAAAGGTGTTCACTGAATTATACAGTTGTCATTGGTGACCCCAATAAAAAAAAAACAACAAACTAGAAACAGATCACTTTGGGGGAATTACTTAGATGACTGATAACTGCAGGTTACTCAGTCTTTGATCCCATTATAAAAATGTTTAGACATATTTCTCCCTTCCCATTCTAGAGGGCTTAGATTAATAGTTCCTAACCATTTCTTGTGGGATAACCCACTCCCGTGTAATGTTAAAAAAAAAAACAAAACCGTGAACACTAAAATAACTATTTTTATAATAAGATTTAAAAAATCACAAGTTGTTTGAAATAAGTATAAGATATTTGTGCATCCAGGATACCAGGCTTGGTGTATATGTGCGTGTGGTGGTCTCTTGTAATAACTCAGATCCAGAGATTGAGAAGCCATAGGGATAATGGCTTTCTGACTCCGGGAATCTGTAATGCTTCAAGTATTTTTTTTAAATTACCGAATGAATGGCATATCATGGTAGGTTTTATAATGGCCCAATATGGACGTGTTAATATTTAAAGTACAGCAGTCCCTCCTTATTCGTGATTTCCATTTCCAGGTTTTCAGTTACCCACATTGGAAAATTTTCCCAGTCATGGACATCATCTGCTCCTGGCATCCAACCACTGACATGGTCATGGCTCCATGAGCCAGGATCACCCAAAGCAAATAATCCTGTTCTGAAGGTCAGTAGCAGCCTAATGCTCATCACGATGCCCATATCATTTACCTCACTTTCTCTGGCCATGCAGGCATTTTATCACCTCCCACGGTAACAACAGTAAATACAGTACATTTGAGATTCTCAACCCATTTACATACATTTTATTATGGTATGTTGTTGTAACTGTTCTATTTTATTATTAGTTATTATTGTTACTCTTTTACTGTGCCTATTTTATACATTAAACTTTATGATATGTATGTATGTAAAAGAAAAAAACGTAATATGTATGGTTCCTGACTTAACAATGGTTCAACTTACAATTTTTTAACTTTACAGAAGTGTGAAAACAAGACACATTCAGTAGAAACTGAACTCCAAATTTCAAATTTTGATCTTTTCCTGGGCTACCTATATGTGGTATGAAACTCTCTTGTGATGCTGAGTAGCAGCAGTGAGGTACAGTCCCAGTAAGCCACACAATCATGAGGGTAAACTAACACTCTACAGCATACCATTAAACACATCTTTGGCTTACAATATTTTCAACTTATGATGGGTATAGCAAGATGTAAATCCATCACTGAGTCGAGGAACGTCGGTAAACACAGGATTAGGTACTATCCCACTGGGAGTCTAGGAACATATGCTTTGTGGATGAGGGCAAACTACTGTACCACGAGCTCAAATACTGTCAACTATAATTAGATGCCATTAGTGAAATCCTAAAATTTCCATTAATGAAACCAAATTTAAATTTCTACTTTTCCATTACAAATTTTTGCTAACCCAGAAAAAAGATAATTGGATGTAGTCTATACGGCTCAAAAGCCAGTAATTGTATTAGTTCATTTTACACAAAGGCAAACCTAAGAACACAAAAAAACACTGATTTTCCATATTATTCATGGATACGAAGCCTGAACTGACAATATTTGTCCATTCGTTCATTCTCTTAAAAATTGCTATTGATCAGGTGGAGAAAAAAGTCAGGCATCAGGATTCTGCCAGTTTTTCCATTAGTTGAAACAAATGTTTCCTTAATTAGTGAGCTGGCCAAAAAGTTCATGCCCTGCCCATGATGGTTCTAGTAGTGCTTAGTTATCTTTAACTTATTTGAAACAATTTTGTTAGATTGTATTGTGACAGCTGTCATTTCAGTGTGCATTAAAAAAACACATCAAAATTGGTGTTTTTGTGCAGCCATTTTAATATTGAAGATGGAAGAAGATATGCAACATTTTTGGCATATTATGCTTTATTATTTCAATAAAGGTAAAAATACAACTGAAACACACAAAAAAGATTTGTGCAGTGTATGGAGGAGGAGCTGTCACTGACCTAAAGTATCAAAAGTGGTTTTGAAGTTCCTTCCTTCTATTGACATTTTGGCCAAATAATTCTTTGCTGTGGGGCTGTCTCATGAACTGGAAGATGTTTAGCAGTACCCCTGGCCTCTACCCATGAGAAGCCAACAGTAGGAGATAGCTGTCATACTCAAAATACCCAAATCAATAAAGTTATTGGTGAAAATGAAAAATGTGTATTTTATTTTACAGAAAAAAACACACAAACTTTTTGGCCAACTTAATACAAAACTCACTGAGGTTGCCAATTTAAAGGTGCTACTTAAATAGAGAGCAATTTCTCTAACCACGTATAACAAACAAATTACAATTAAGGCCAATTATATTTAGTTAGTCTAATAATAACTCTAAGAACTAGACTATAACAGAGACAAGTCCTCCAGTATTTATTGGTCACAAATAGTTAAAATACAAATTTCTATTAAAAAAAGGTAATTCTTATTGTTGCTTTACTAAAGAATCAGCTAGTAACTCAAAACAGGATTATAGGTATAATAAGCTCACAAATTCTACAAGGTATACAACAGTATTTTCCAGTTTTATTTTGGATCAAAAATAGTAAGTTATTTTAAAGCATTTTGAGTCACACAAGTTGTTAATCTTAAGATCTAATTTCTAATGGCAGTCAGGCAAACAAAAAAAAGTTTTGATAAAACTATAAAACACCATGAAATTTAAAAAATCATCAGTGTTGACCCAGACAATGCTGAAGAATTGAAACTGAGTTTGCTAAATTCTATCAAATACCAAATGCATGACATGGATTTGAAACTGCAATGAAATATCAAAACCTATTTTCAAGTATAGAAAGTACCTTTATTTTTGGTGATTATTATAGCACTGAGAGCTTTTATGTATCTTTCATTCATTCACTACTTTTGTGATTAAAATTAAATTTAAAATAAAGTAAAAAATGACCAGAGAATTTCAGGCATATTAAAATGACATGAGACAAGTGATAACAAATTCAGTGAATCCCCTGATTACCTCTCATTAGCAGCACTCAGAATCACCATTTAGGGCTGGAAGAAATGTAAGAAATCTAATTTTTAATCCTTTTTAAAAAACTTAATCCTCTTTATCTACAGGATGACACTAAGGTCAGAGAGATAAAATGATTTTCCCAACCAAGTCCGACAGCCCAATATAAAGTGCACATGTCCTAGTTCTCACAGCCCATGTGTTCTTCCACCATACTGTAGTGCATCTTTCATGTGTGTGTATACACACACACACACGCACACACTTTTTTTTAAGAAGCAATGTTTTACTCTCCTATTGGAAAAACTATCTGGCTCTCTCCTAGCCTAGTGTGATGGCCATATAGTAAGTACTGAACTATAGTAGCTCATTTCCACAACAAAACTTCCCTTAAAGTCAATTTGACTACTTAGCAACTAAACATATCTTCAACATGGAAATGACTTGTAAATGTACATATACAGGAGTTATTTGACTAAAGGTTTCTCTGACCTCTGATTAACTCGGGGAACTACCATTGTATAACCCCAGATTCAGATAAAACCCTGCACCCTACTCAATCCTAGTGATAAACGCAGCCTGGCCAATCCCCCACCCCACCCCACCCCCCAACCCAGCACAGCTGTTGGATACCAAAAGGATTTAATAATTACACACTAAGCAGTTCACCTGATACTCCTGTGCTTCCTCTAACATCAGAGAATCTGTTTCAGGCATGTCAGGCTTGATCATGTAAATTTCAAAGTACAGTAAACGAATTTAAAATGTCTCTACCCAAAATGTTTAAAAACTCCCTCTCACAGATGAAAAAAAATGCCCATGAACACCATTTTACTCTGCCAACCAACAGTCACCGTTTTTGCTTATCTCCCACCTTGAAACACTTCAAAAAGGGGAGTGGCTCGCTATTAAAAGGTTATTACCGATTAAGTTCTAGGCCTTCGATATCACCAAAGCAACTCATATCACGACGTACCAATCGTTAATGGAATTTGGTTTCCTTCACTAATTAATCAAATACAATCATCACATTTGCAGACGTTACCCGTGACCCCCACGCTAGGGATAAATGCTGTGTCACCGAGAAAAATATTTTCCTGAAAGCAAAAGAAAACTGTCAAAGAAGGTCGCTAACCTGTGCCCTGGGGCTACTCCACTCCCTATAAAGGTAGCCAGAAGTCACTCTCCCAAAGCCCACGTGCTGCCGTCTGATGGGAAGCCCCCTGACCGGCACAACCCTTCCAGGAAAGGATGCACCCGCTGCACTTGCATGGCCCAGGGCTGCTTCTCACCATTTCCAGGTGAGCACCAGTGCCTTCGGGGTGTCCGCTTCCCGGGGCCGGACTGGCCCTGCCCTCTGGGGTCTTCCGTTCACTGTTGCGTTTCAGGCCGCTGGCGTCGCCTCGACCCCCGGCCTCTCGGCGCCGTCGCTGCCGGCTCCACAAGTACATGGCACCCGCACCCAGCAGCAGAGGCGCCCCGACCGCCAGCGCCAACTGCCATCGCGGCAGGCCCCCTGTGCCCGGGCCTGCAGTCGCACTGCCGCCGCCCACCCCACTACCAGAGCCAGGCGCAGCCACGGCGACTACCGCCGCCTCTACAGGTTTAGAGGCGGCCATGACGAGTGTCCTCCGTCACTGCCTCTCTGCAGGTCGCGGGTACCACAGTCACCACTCGGCGGGCAAAGGAAAACTGGAAGGAGGGAAGGAAGGTAGTGAGCAAGTGTGCACGCTAGGAAGCCAGAGCGTACAACAGAAAAGGGCCAGAGGTCACCGGAAGCCCAGGGCATGCCGGGCCAGACCTAGCCAGCCTTTCCCCTCCCTCCTCCTTAACCGTAGAGGGAGGGGGAGAAGGAGGAAGTGGAGGAAAACGGGAGGGAAATCACATCCGGGTCAAGGGGTGACCCACAGCGTGCTATGGGCATCAGGTGGGTGTCCAGAGACGTCCATTCTCTTTCTTTTCACTCCGCTGCTGTTCGTGAGACTTTTCTGGGGTCTTGGTCCTCCGCTGGTAGTCGATGTCTAGCGAAGCCGAGGAGCAGCGCATATAAAGACGGCTTTACGGTGCGCACGCGATCAGAGCGGAAAAAAAAAAAAAAGACAGCAGCGGCCCTAAGAATGGGCGAGAGTGGCAGAGGAGTTGTTAAGGTTATTGGCTGGCCGGTGGTGGGCGGGGCGTAGGCCGAGTTGCTCAGTTTATTGGTGGAATTTAGACCCCTGGTTTTCTAGTTACCGCCACGTTGGCGCTCCTTTGGTCTCCCGGCTGTTTGCTTGGTTGTTTTTCCTAGGTGTCTTGGGAACTAAAGGATTGGTAGGACTTTTAAAGATGTGGAAGAAAAAAGATCAAAGCTGAAGATATCCTGCAGTAGCATTGATCTTATCTTTACCATGGCCAGAATTTAGTCTGGACGAATGTGAGACTATTGGGGCAACAGCAGAAGGCAGAAATCCGACTGGTTTGAAACCTGAAAATCTAGGTTGGCTCAGTCGAAGTAGCTTGAATGGAGTCTCTTCGGCACCCCGTCTGCACCTATTACGAAAGCGATGACGTTTCTGTGCTGTTGCCCCGTTCTCGAACTCTGTGGGTATCAACGCGAAGGTGGTAGCAGAGTTTACCACCTTTTCTTTTTGTATTTATATATTGGTGTCCGCCCAGCACCCAAGCCCACAATATGGTCTGTGGAATGTCTCTGCTCCACAACCCCAGAGCTCTGATTTGCCAGTGTCCTTGTTTTGCACTTAGATGTGAGTCCTCTTACCTCATTAGCTCGTACCACATTCCCAAAATACTGAGTTTTCGCATATTTACAGCTTGGTCAATTCCTTTGCCTGTGCGCTGCACCAGATCTCAAAATACAGATTTTTTTCTTTGCCAGTAACTGTTTGGAATTTATAGTATTTTTAAGAGGAAAGGCCAAGTATTAATAGAATTCAAAACTGGCTCCCCATTTCGGATTGCTGAAATATATTTAAAATGTACAAGTAATCACTTGGGTACAACGTAAGATATACAACATCACAGTAGCACTACATGAATACTGAAAGATAATATTAAGTGGCACCAAAAGAGGCTTTTTAAAGCCAACTTTGAAAGTTTCAGGATCATTTCTCTTCTCTTGCTTCATATAGGTTCCTGTTAGTAGATTGCTTTCAGGCAACAGGGTTTCTTAGCAACAGATTGTAAAGATGAGCCAAAGATGATAAAAATAGAATTGAGTTGGTAAAATAGTAATCGTTGCAGGCAAAGGGCTTCTCTCCCTGATTCCCAACCTCACAAACCAAGTCTGTTCCTCTACATAATTTCTCCCTTGCCTTTTCAGAACAGATACGATTTTTCTGAAATTTCCATTTTTCTTTAGCCTTATAGGGAATTTTAGAGTGCTATTAAACTATTAGTGAAAACTAAAACATATAAAGTTTTTCAAAAACTTAGATATTTATTGGGATAGATAATAATAGATTGTTATGGCTACAACTCAGAAGTTACAAAGGGTTGCCCTGACCTGTGTGGCCCATTTGGTTGGGTGTCTTCTGCAAAGCAGGGGGTCACCAGATGGAGTCCTGTGTGGGCACATGCCTGGGTTGTGGGTTGGTCCTGGTCCAGGCATGTATTGTACAAGAGGCAACTAATCAATGTTTCTCCCTTACATAGATGTTTTTCTCCGTCCCTTCTCCTCTCTCTAAAAACATAATCTTAAAAAAAAAGTTACAAAGGGTTTACTGTGAAGTCTTTCTCCAACCCCTGTCCCCAACCACCCAGTTCTGCTCTCCAAAGGCAATCAATGTTAGAGGTTCTTAAAACATTTGTTTAAAATTTATCTGAAGGTCTGGCTTTTTTGGCTTTGTCTTTTTAAAATGTCTTTTTTAATTAATTATTTTTAGAGAAGGGGGAAGGGAAGGAGAGAGGGAGAGAAACATCAATGTGTGGTTGCCTCTTGCACGCCCCCTACTGGGGTCCTAGCCTGCAACCCATACATGTGCCCTGACTGGGAATTAAACCAGTGACCCTTTGGTTCCCAAACTGGTGCTCAATCCACTGAGCTGCACCAGCCAGGGCTGAGCTTTGTTTTTGAGATCAGCATCAGTAAATGAATTAGCTCTTGTTCATTTTACACTTTGTTAAAATTCTCATTTCAATTCTTGAACCTATTCATATCTTCTCTCATTTTCTCCATCATGTCTGAATTGATTATGGTACAGAACTGAGTAAGAATGTTACTAGTTTTGTGATCTTTCTGGCCTAATGTGTAAGTTTCTGGGCTGTGAAATAGCAAAAACATATACCTCTCAGATTATCTTAAAGATTTAGTTAGGTAATATTTAAGGCCTTTTTAGTGTAATTTGTTATAAAATAGTAGACACTCAGTAGCTAATTCTTTGTTTTTCTAAATTTTGAAGAAAACCTTTAAAAAATGAGGTTTTATATATGTGAACATATGTATATGTACATATTTTTTCTTTTTTTACTAGATTAATGGAACTCAATATGGAGAAGCTTTTTTCACTTCTTCTCTGGTCTCTTAGAAGGCAGTTGAATAAGGTAGAATGTCTAATTGTTGCATGCAGACCTGAGTTCTTATTCTAGATTTCAGTCCTACCAAGCTGTGTGATTAGATGATTTCTAAGGCTCCCCGTATCTTTAAAATTATATGATTCTATTCCCTCAATTGCCATTGCTTACATAAAGGTTTTCTGATTGGTAAAGCTGACGGGTAGCTGGTTATTTGGTGTGTATGTCTTCCAGTGGGTCCACAAACGTGCTTATATTAAGTACATACATACACAGCTCAGTTCTCTCTGAACTCTTCTTGAGGTTTCTATTCTCCCTGTTTTTCTTCACTGAAAAATTACTGGAAAGAGCCCTGGCTGGTGTGGCTCAGTGGATTGAATGCCAGCCTGTGAACCAAAGGGTTGCCAGTTTGATTCCCAGTCAGGGCACATGCCTGGGTTGTGGACCAGGTCCCCAGTGGGGGGCATGTGAGAGGCAACCACACATTGGTGTTTCTCTCCCTTTCTCCCTTCCTTCCCTTCTCTAAAAATAAATAAATAAAATCTTTTTAAAAAATTACTGGAAAGAAATGTCTATACTTGTTATCTCTACTTGTCACCCATCATTCAAAATCTCTTTTAATCTAGTTTCTAAGTTTATTACTAGTCTGAAACTACTTTAAAGTCACTAAATTTGTTTTTTGTTTGTTTTTGGCCTTCATAGGCTTTTATTGAAGCACTTGATACCATTGGTCACTTACTTCTTCAAACACTGTTTCCCTGGCTTTTAGACTGAATTTTTCTGTTTCTTCCATTCTGACCAGTGTCTAGACAAATGCTGCCCAATAGAACTTTGTGTGATGTTGGAAATGTTTTCTATCTATGATGTTCATTATGATAGCCACTAGCCACGAGTGGCAGTTGATAGCTAATGTGACTAAATTTTTCATTTTAACTCTAATGGATTTAAAGAGCTTCACATGACTAACGGCTATCATATTGTACAGCAAAGCTCTACGTCTTCCACAAGTGTAGGAATCCTCAAGGATTTGTCCTCTTTTTTGTATGCAGTCTATGGGTAACCAAAGTACATCTCATTGCTCTAGGTACCATTTCTCTGAAGATAACATCTTTTCACCCCTGGCCCTATAATATCCTGCTACTTACTGAGCAGCTTTGTCTGGATGAATCATTTTACTTTTTTTTTAATTTTTCAAATTATGGTTAACATATAATATTACATTAGTTTCAGAGGCACACCCCAGTGGTTAGACATAGAACTTACTAAGTGATCATCGTGATAAATCTAGCACCCATTTGACACCATACATAGTTATTAGGATGTTATTGACTATATTCCCTGTGCTGTACTTTACATCCCCATAACTGTTGTGTAACTGCCAATTTGTACTGCTTAATCCCTTCAACTTTTTCATCCGTTCCCCCAGACACCTCCCATCTGGCAACTGTCAAAATATTCTCTATCTATGAGTCTGTTTTTATTCTGTTTGTTTATTTTTCAGATTCAGTTGTTTTGATATGTACTTATTGACATTTTCTTGATTTTTTAAAATCTTTTTTCCTTCTTCTTAAAGAAGACCTTTTAACATTTGCATGTAATACTGGTCTGGTGGTGATGAACTTCTTGTCTCGGAAGCTCTTTATATGTCTTCAGATTCTAAATGATAGCCTTGCTAATGCAGTAATCTTGATTGTAGGTCCTTGATTTTCATCACTTTGAATATTTTTTGCCAGTTACTCCTGGCCTGCAAAGGTTCTGTTGAGAAATTACCTGGCAGTTTTAGGGTAACTCCCTTATAGGTAACTAACTGCTTTTCTCTTGTTGCTTTTAAAATTCTCTCTTTGTCTTTAATCTTTTGCATTTCAATTGTGATATGTCTTGGTGCGGGCCTCTTTGGGTTCATCTTGTTTGGGACTCTCTGTGCTTCCTGGACTTGTATGTCTGTTTCCTTCACCAAGTTAGATTTTTCTCATTATTTTTTCAATAGGTTTTTGATTTCTTCCTCTCTCTCCTCCTTCAAGCACCCCCATGATGTGAATATTGCTACAGTTGCAGTTGTCCCAGAGGCTCCTTGCACTTTCCTCATGTTTTTTTTTTGGGGGGGGGATCTTTTCTTTTTGCTGTTCTGATTTGGTGTTTTTGGTTTTTTATTTTACAAGTTGCTCTTTTGATTCTCAGCTACATCTATTCTATTGTTGATTCCCTGTAAATTATTCTTCATTTCGGTTACTGTGTTCTTCATTTCTGACTAGTTCTTTCATATGATTTCCATGTCCTTTTTTAGGCTGTTGAAGTTTTCTTTAAGTTTATCTGTCCTCCCCTGAGTTCATTGAGTATCCTTATAATCAAAGTTTTGAACTCTGCATCTAATAAATTGCTAGTCTCAATTTAGTTTAGTTTGGATTTTTTTGCTCTGAGTTTTGTTCTGTTCTTTCATTTGGGACATGTTTCTTTATCTCCTTATTTTGGCATTCTCCCTGTGCTTGTTTCTATGTAGAGGGTAGAGTTCCTGCATATACTGGGCTCAGTAGAGTAGTAGATGCCATGTATGGTC